TCAGGTTCCCATCGAAGTGGGCTACTAAATTGCCCCCCCTCCGTCCGAGTCCGATGCCCTCTGATCTGGACCCTGGGAACCCCTCTCTGCACGCCCGATCCCACCTGGCTTGCAGATCCTGGCATCGCGCTTCTGCTTCAGCAACTGTCTTCTGAGAAACCACGACAGCAGTGGAGAGCTCGGTGACTGCGTTTTGCAGGGACGCTATCTGCTCCTCAGTAGTCATTGCTGCCAAACTCATGAGCTGTGCAAAAAAATTTTTGCGGTTTTTTTGTTTTGAGAGGGGACTTACTGTCAAGGCTGCCTCAAGTCTTAGCTCACAAAGACCAACGCCTATGTCTTCTTATATACAAAAGTGTTTATTGCAGTTCATGGTTTGCTTGACATCCTAGGCGCGCAGCCTTACGTCTCTTACGCTAGACCGCCGAAGTCCCCTCTGAGTCAGTTCCTCCCTGCACCAATTCAAGAGACTTGCGCTGCTCCACCTCTTTCTCTCCTTCCTTTTCCGCAGGGTCCTTCTGCCCACTGGGGTTTCGCCCTCCTGGATTCCTCTGACGCTGAATCCCCAGACTGCTCTTCCCCCTCCTGCGGGCTTTGGGACCTGGCCCCTCCTCCGGGCTCCCTGCACTTCCGCGCGCCTCTACATTTGAACTAGGCGCGCGCGCCAAACCTCTAACTTTCCTTTTGACAGTTACACTACTCCCTTCACTGCTCCCTCCCCTTCCGGGAGGGCGGCTTGCTCTGACCCCCTCCTTTCTCTGCTGCTGGAGCTGCTTCCTCTGACACACTGGAAACTCCACCCCCTTCGCTGCACTCTGGTGGGGAGGCTGGTCCTGACGCCCAGCTGCCACTTTGGGATCCTCCGCTGGCACCCTGCTCCTGACACTTCCCCCCTGGGGCTCCCTGGCCTTGACCACCGGCGCCCCTTCTGGGAATCCTCTGATTCGCTGGAAAGACTCATGGAATCTCTTGAGTCATTGTCATCCTCTTCCTCGCTGGCTTGGAATTCCTCCCCATCGCTCTCCATCTCCTGCCTACCCTGTGCCTCTCTCCCTGAACCCCTGACACATGTGATGTCATTTTAAGTAACAGAATGTGTTACCTCCGGGTCGCCATGGAGCGTAACCTGAAAACACTCAACCTGAAGCATATTTAACCCGAGGTATGACTGCAAAGGTATTTAACCTTTTGTCACCTTGATTTTGTTTCTCAAGTGTTTTTTATGAATGTGCTGGTAAAAGCTTTCCCCCTCCCATATCACATTAGAACTTATAGGCATCCAATGAAGTAGGATGTTGGAAGCTTCAGGACAGATAAAACAAAGTGCTTCTTCACACATCACATAGTTAAATCATGGACTTCGCTCCAACAAGAGGCAGCAATGACCACCAACTTGAATGCCTTTAAAAGAGAATTAGATAAATTTTGGGAGAACAAGTCTATCAATGGCTATCAATGGTAACAGGCACATAAAAGCACTTTGACACAGATCACCTCTGCGCCATTTTGAATGTGTATAGATGAGTCTCCCTCTGTTACTCTCTGGTCAAACAGGTTTTGCAGGGTTTTAAGCACTACATTTCCAGTAAAGGGATATCCTAGCCACACTTTCATAAGAATAACAGCCTCTGAAGTCAATGGGGCCTATTTCTGAGTTAGAACCACCCAGCAAGTCATAGTTTAAGCTGCTACGACTATGAATAGTGTGATAAAACCCATTACTTTGACTTTTACAAGTATATTTCCAAGCTTTAAAGGGTGAGTTTGATTATTTATTACTTGTGCAGAAACAAAATTATAAGTTCTCGTCTTTTGTAATGTGATAGTGAGGCGAGCTGAAAAAATCTCAGGTAGAATGTCAAGTTGCAAGCGTATTGCTCAGCCATTAGAACAATACACAATAATTAGATCACTGTTAATCATGACTGAATGCATTACATTTATAATTAGTGGCTCCAAGTATAATTAAAATCAAATAGCAAAATTATACTCCAATTACTGAGAAAACCAGCAATCACACATTTAGATAGACCATCCATATATGATTACATTTAGATTGACTAGTCGTCTTTACAATAAATAACATCAGATAAGGCAAATTTGCTACAAATATCAGTAGCTGTCACTGCCATTTTTGCTCCTAAGCCAGTTACAGGGAGAAATCTATCATTTAGTATGAATTACATTTATGCTTTGCCTTTCCTCCAAGGAACCTAAGGGCATGGTTCTTTCTCTCTTTCTCTCATTTTTCCCTCTCATAACAACTCTGAGATGGGTTAGGCTCTGATATGGTGACCCAATAAGCTTCATGAGAATGTGTGGGTTTGAATCTAGGTCTCTCCAGAACTGGTCTACTCAGTTGGTGTATATCACAGTAGGGAACATGTTGCCTTCCAGATGTTGTTGGATTCCAACTCCCATCAGCCCCAGAAAGCCTAGCCAATCATTAGGTACAATGGGAGTTTCAGACCAACATCTGGGAGGGGGCGAAGGTTCTCACTATTGGTATAGGCTGTTAGGATATTTCCGTTCCACCTTAAAAGGGAGCAGGCTTTGTGAGTCACAGAGTCTGCGTATTTCCTGTTTCACAGGATGTTTCTGTTGTGTCTTTCTTTTCATTCTCTCTGTGTCTGGAGACACTGAAGCAGGCAGTCATGTTTTTTGTTCTGATCAACGCTGAATAAAACTTGTAAATAATGCTCTCCTGAGTGCGACTTTTGCTGTGCATTATCTGCTGATAGAGTGTGCATGAGCTCTGGAATGTGGCAAGCTATTTCTGGAAGCTCGTGTCGCTAATTGCTGATACTGTATCTATGGGAGATCGATGGATCGTCTGGCAGCCGGCTTGGGGGCCATGATGGACTTTCTCTCCATGGCAGTATCCCAACATAGGCAGTCCTAGTGCTTACCCACACTTACCTTTCCTCTGCTCTTTCCAGGAATGGTTTATGCTTCAAAGCAGGGGTAGGCAACCTAAGGCACATGGGCCACAAGCAGCCCACGAGGGTCGTTTAACCAGCCCATGAGACACCCCTGAACTGAGCCGCCCGCTCAGCGAGTCCCCGCTCGCTGTGCTAAACCAGTGCGGTGCAGGGACTTGCTTCCGCATAGCCGGAAATTGTGTCTGCGCAGATGCAGACTCCGGAAATCGCAGGTGTGCGCACTCACACAGATGCGCAATCCGACCCAAGGAGGGATCTCCGCTGGAGTGAACCGGCTCAGGCGAGGTAAACCTTGCCGACCCCTGCTTTAAAGCCCCATGTCGGAGCTCCGCCCCCCTGTTTTGCCCCAGAACTTTCTCCATGAAAACCCGCTCTTTAAAGCTCAGTCGGAGCAAATGGCGATCCCTGGAAAAACCAAAATGATGTTTGTTCTGATTGAGTGCGAAAAAGCAGATTTTAACAGGGAAAGTTCCAGGGCATCCCCCCCCCCAAAAAAAAACCCCACCACACTCTGACATGGAGAATTTAAGTGTGGACCTGTGCCTGGAAAGAGCAGTGCAAAAGGTAAGTGTGGATAAGCCCCTCAGCACAATGCAGTTTAGTATGTTAACAGGAGCGCAGATGACTTTTAGCTGTGGTAGTTCTGAGACACAGACTAGGTTATCAACCTGGTGCCCTCCTGATTTCCTGGACTACAATTGCCATCAGTCAGCAAGGCCAATGACCATGGATGATGGAAGTTGTAGTCCAACAGTATCTGAAGGGCACCAGCTTGGGGGAGACTGCACTAGATGAAGTGCTAAGCATGTCAGACCTTGTAAGTTGCATGTATGGAGGACTGGCTGTGGACCATATATAAACCTCTCTTTGTGTGGCATCTCCAGTATAATCTCAGGCAGGATGAGTGGAAAAGGCCTCTCACTGAGACCGTGAAGAGCAGCTACCACTCAGAATAGAGAGTGCTGCGTATAGTGGACCAGCGGTCTGCTTCTTTATAAGGCAGCTTTCTAGGTCCAAACAAAACTTTTTAATAAACAGGAACAACAAAATAAATCTGTGCACCCAGAACATGTTTCCAGCTTAAACATAAGCTTCCATGCCATTTAAAAACTCCCCTGAATTGTGGAATTCTCTCCCCACAGGGATGCATCTAGAATCATCATTGCATGGCTTTCACTATATGCTGAGTATGCACATTTTAATCTTGGCCTTTGACTCCTTAGAGATATTTTTTATGAGCCATCCAGTTCTTCTGATTTTAATATTGTATCTTCATATTGTTGTAACCTGCCCTAGGACCTTAAGGTGAAAGATGGGTAAGAAATTAAAATACTCCTCCTTCTCACAAATTATTCGTATTTGATACTATTATTAAGTTCCATCCTGCCCCAGCCCCTAAAGTTGAGCTCAGTTATGATAGACTCCTATCAGATGGAAAATGCCTCTGAAGCACATTTAATTGGATGCTATCAGAACACTGTGGAGAGGTGTACCATCTCGTTCCCATGGGCAAACAAAATCGTTTGTGACAGGCCCACTCTCTCGACAAAGCCAAAACTTTGAACGCTCCACATTTCCCCCAGAACATTTAGTTTGTAAATCAGAGGCAGGACTTTCTGCTTTTATTTTATGGGATTTGTAAAACTATTGCAGGGCAGAAAGATATAAAGATATACTTCCAGACTTATAAAATAGTCAGATGTTGAGGCTAAATCGGATGATTAAAACTAGCAGCTTTCCAGTCCACAATCTGAGAGAAAGATTTATGGGCAAATTTGATCATCAGTCAGATGTGTGATGTATAATTCAAACTCAAGGAATGCCCATGCCCATGTACCATTTAGAGTTTGCAATACCACCACAGAAAATAGAGAGTCTGGGTGCCTTTTGCTGATGACTTCTGGAAATGCACCACACTTTGTACTTTTAATTCAGTATATTTTGAAAAACAAAAGTGGTGATGAATTAAATTTCTCTGAAGCCAATGAAGCTTCTGTCCTATTCACATCTGAGATTCTTGCTATTAAGCTTTGTTCAGGGCCATTTTTTTTTCTTGTTATGTGCTGCCTCTGAATGCCATTGCATCAGCACATGAATTCATACCTGGTGAATTAACACAATAGACAGTGTGTTTTTCATTTAGACAATCCTGCAAGTAAACTGGTCCCAGGCTGTTAAGTACTAACAGTAACACAATGAACTTGGTCTGATAGCAAATCAGCAGCCTAGACTGACGTGTGGGCAAGTCATGTTAAATTTGAGAATGTCAGAGCAACTTCACTGCAGATGATGCTCAGCACACTAATATGTTCATGTACAAACCAGTAGCATGGCTTGTACAACAGGTTTTGCTGAACAACATACTGGATCAGTTTGAGATATAGAAAGAAGATGGACTTGACAACAAGGAAATTCACCTGGAGGGAAAGTTGGAGCAACTTTTAATGTTCCTGTGTAGGTAAACATAAGTATAGTAACCAACTTGCCCAGTGATGATTTGCTAGATGTACCAGGTTTGGAGCAGAGCACGGGTAGCATTTTATTTTTCCAGAATGTAAGTGTTTTGTCTGCATCTCGCACATCATAGTCTTACTTTCTTTTTCTGCAAGTTCAGAAGCCCCATTTGATAAATTACCAGACAGCCTCATTAACTGCAAAGCTTTGTCAGTTCTCTCCAAGCAATCAGAGTGTTAGTTAGACCCAAAGAGCAAATGCAAAGCTAAAGAGGAAGCCAGCGCAACCTTATTAATCCGGTGGTATGGATCGACATTTGTCAACTATATTGAAGTTTGTTGTACTGAATGGAGCCCCAGAGACCACTCAATTACTTTATCTCTTAGCAATTAGGAACCTCCTCCCTCAGCTCAATCTGTTAGCACAAGGAGAGAGAAAAATTGGTTACAAGATTAACAGTAGAAATCCATGACCTTTTGTACATACACCCTTTGGAAGAGAAAGAGTACATTGTTTCCTTTAATGTGTACTTTATTTAAGAAAATGGAAATAAGTGCTTTGTTTTCATCTAATACCAAAGCTTCAGGTGATTCTCTAGCAAAATCCCTAGTCTACCATTGTGCTGTTGCATTTGTCAGAGGTTTGGGGTATTGCTTTCTGGCCATAGCTTGCCTGTACATAGTCAAGTCAAAGTATTGGAGAATTTGGAAGGAAATTTTTATTTCTGGTGCATCTTCCCTTTCCCTGTTCATTTTGTGTGGGATTATCTTCTGATCTGATGCTTTTGAAACTAATCTCTGAGGCTTGCCTTTGTCCTTATCGGTTCCCTTTTCACTGAAGTTTCCTGAGCAAAGTTGTTGGTTCTTTAGATAAGCTTTCCTGGAACTGAATTAGCTAGATGGAAGCAGATATGCCTTTGGGGGGATGAATAAGCCTTGCAAAACTGGAGCATCTAGAGTTGCCAGCAAGTCCTGGGCTCAATAAATGAATGAAATTAAAACTGTGACAAGCTGCTTTTCAGATGATGCTTTGATTACAATGCATAAAGTGAAAAAAAGATTTAACCCCAGTCCAGGTGAGTGCCATAATCCCACTGGGATTGGGTTTGGATTGATAGGCTCTGAAATGGGAGGAGGAGGAAGAAATCATGCAGGGGGTGTTGGCTGAATGGTTGGAACCTGGGTTGTAGGAAGTGGGATCTTCACATTTCCGCCATTTTGGAAAGGGTTGCAGGGATGGCTGTAGTATGGAGGGCTTGGAGCTGCTGAGGGAGGTGGTGGGGTATGGGGGGGAGTGGTAGTGGTGGCAGCAGCAAGTGAACAAGGGCCAGAACAAGAAGCTGCAGTCTTGTCGCACCTCATCTTTTTAAGTTTAGTGGGCAGGGCATGGAAACTTGCTAGGACATATTTGTTGTGACTGTCCAGTTCTGAACTTCTTGCCCTGCTCTAGAACTCCTCAGCCATAAGTCCACGGGCCTTGGATCAGCTGCCGAGCCCATATCAATAGCTGCAAGAGTAAATATCTGTTTCTTTCTTACATGTAAGAGCCCCTGTTTGTGTAAGAGCCAGGACATCAGAGGCAATATCAGTGCAGAAACAAATTTCTGTATATGTATTTCTACTAGAGCTGAGTCCAAATTTGGGGTGGCCTGGGAGGCACATTTGGCTCCCAAGCCTGAAGATCTCCACCACAGTTTTCCACCATTCACCTCTCAATTCACAAACAACACCTTGCAATAACTGCGGAGAATGCAAAATGGTGGCTAGGCTGCCAATGCAGCTTCTTGGAAAAGCAACAGCAGCAGCAAAAAAAAAAAAAAAAAAAAAAAGGCTTGGTAAAAAAGAAAGTAGTTATGTCATGGTTAAGCCCCACTGCTGAGAAACCATTGGATAATTTCTTCTCCATCTGGGGAAATTTGGTGAAATGGTTCCCCACAATTTATCTGACCACAGATAGGATGGACAATTTCAAGGTGCCATTTTGCACCCAGCTCTAATTTATAGTTTCATGCAGAATTCTGGTTGCAAATGAGTTCTGCCCCAGGATCCTACGGCTATGGTAGTTCGAGGGGAAAATATACTGGATTCCTACCAATCAGCTCTTTTGGAGAGGAATCAAAGTGTTGAATTCAGTTCCCTTGCTCTCCTCCCAACCAAAAATTGATTAGCAAGTTTCAATCTTTCTTTGTTGATCAACACTATGTCTTTAAACCCTTTAAAAATATGCATATAAAAATACAGACACTCTGATCAATCATAAAGCTAGACAATACTAATTCTATTAATATTGTTTTTCTTATATATTCTGGGAAAAGATAAGAATAAATACAAACTTTAGAACAAATTCCTTAATTTTCTTGACTTTGCTTTCATCAAGAAACTGGGAATAAGAAACCGGGAATGGGGAGTTCAGAATCTGAGATTTGACTTCCCTTTTTACCTTTTAGTAGATCTTATTGAAGAAGATCACTAAGGCACAGCTGAGGAACGAGTCATTTGCTTGTTGATGATGAATCTCTTGCTTGCATGCTGGTCAGAAAAAGGAGAGAGCAAAAGCATTTGTTTGCTGCTGACATCCATTATTTTGTGTCCTTGATAGATCAGTAGTGGTGCCATGGACAGAAAATGCCAATATGAATCACAATCCTAGCTGGATACAGTGGACAAGCGTGCAAGAATGCAATACAGTGCTTAGGCAGCATCTCCTGAAGCTTTCAAGCCAAGTATTTGCATTTTGCTCTGTGCCTTGATCAGAGATGCTCCTGAAAGTGAATGACTTTACTCTCTGGCCAAATTAAAATCCACAAGTGCAATCCTGATATGAAATTTTTATTTCATTTCTATTGCTTAAATAGATCAACCTTCAAGCCCAGCAAAAAAAAAAAATTACCATAATTGAATTCTGTATGGAAGTTCTGATGCTAATGCAGGAAACATTGATAGACTGTAAGGTATAGCAGAAATGTCCAAATGGGGAAGAGAGATGGTTGGGGGGTGATACTGTGAACTTAAGCAAATATATGGTTCACATATTATATCCACTTTATAATTCCTATTGGTGAAAGTCTTTTGACTAGGGATGGAAGGATTTGACATTTTTGGTTCTTTCAGTTTCCTATTATTCCCTCTTGAAATTCAGTTCTCCGCCGCCTTCTCTTTTGGCAGCAACCTGCATTTCTTTTTAAAAACCAAAACAACACCCATCTAGTCTTTCCACAGAAATACAATTTCCAGGGTTCCCTGAGAAGAGGGATTGATTGTAAAACCACCCTGGGAATTGTAGCTCTGGGAGGGGGGAGGGGGGGTCTCTTAACTACTCTCAGCAGCCTTAAGAAGCTACAGTTCCCACAATTCTTTGAGGGAACCCATGACTGTTTAAGGAGAAATCACAGTGCTTTAAATGTATAGCACACATGTAGCCACAGTCACTAGTTCTTCTAAGCTGGCTGACCCAATCCATGCTCCTTAACCCATACTCTAGGTAGTATTTAGGCACTGGAAATGTTGCCTCAAGCATGCCAAAGAATAATATTGTGGGAAGCCCAAGAGTTATCCCTTTGGATGAATCTACAAGATTCACTTCATGCAATTTTAGATATAAAAGTACTTTACACGCTACATTGGTCCCCGAAATAGAATTCTCCTAAAACACAGCTTTAAGAGTCCAGCGGTTGTAGTGTCTTGAATTATGCTAACCACCACTCATCTAAATTATTATATTAACTGGAAAAGGAGGTGCAGGGGGAGGGAGCACATACACAATTTAGCAGAGGATAAAAGGCAACAAATCTAAGAGAAGAATTTTTGCTGAGAAAAGAATCTAGAAATTTAGTAGCAATAAATACTTGGGTGGAATTAAAGACTTTAAAGAAAACACTGGTGGGATTTCAGAAGCAATTTATCTTTTCAAAATGATGATACCCAGAGACAATCTTTTTAAAGAAGCATGTTCTTTCCCCCAGAGGTATTTACCTAGAGGGCTGAATTAAAATATCCTATATCATATTTGTACAATGGGACTTTTGATTTAAACTGCAGAAGTAGCTATAGGCCAAGATTCAGAACCCAGATATTCTCCAGCATGTCCAAAGAGTTTTTATATTGGTTGACCAGGGCTGGTTTAAACATTAAACAAAATAAGCACATGCTTAGGGCATCAGAATAAGTTTGGCACCACAGAAATTTTCCTTTGCTAGGTTTCCATGGAGCATATGGTACAGCTGAACCAGGTCCTACAAAAAAGGCTCCCACAATAAATGAAAAAAATACGTACATACACATACACTAATATGTATATAATACACACACCTAACACAGCAGTAATAGAGATATATACATTAAACCAGGGCCCAGTGCCGAGGGCCTTCTGGCGGTTCTCTCACTGTGAAAAGCGAAGTTACAGGGAACCAGGCAGACGGCCATCTTGGTAGTGGCACCCGCCCTGTGGAACACCCTCCCACCAGATGTCAAAGGAAAAAACAACTACAGTGGTACCTCGGGTTAAGTACTTAATTCGTTCCGGAGGTCCGTACTTAACCTGAAACTGTTCTTAACCTGAAGCACCACTTTAGCTAATGGGGCCTGCTGCTGCCACCGCGCCACCGGAGCACGATTTCTGTTCTCATCCTGAAGCAAAGTTCTTAACCTGAAGCACTATTTCTGGGTTAGCGGAGTCTGTAACCTGAAGCGTATGTAACCTGAAGCATATGTAACCTGAGGTACCACTGTAACAGACTTTTAGGAGACATCTGAAGGCAGCTTTTAATATCTGAAGGACTATTGTATTTTAATATTTTGTTGGAAGCCACCAGAGTGGCTGGGGAAACCCAGCCAGATGGGCAGGGTATAAATAAATTTAAGTGCTTGGGGCCGCTAAAGATTTTAATCCAGTCCTGGGGTTGGCATTGATGGAAGCATTTCGAAGCCCACTTCAGAATGCCTGTATGGATCCTTCATCAATGAAAGTCAGGATAGTTTCTGTAGGTGGAGCAGCTCTATGTATGCACAAGATCAGGTATATACACCTGGTCCTGACAGAAATGCAAGGAAGATTGTCCTCTTCAATCCTTGCAGCAGGGAAACAAAATTTTTAAAGCAGCCACTCATCTCCTCTCTGATCTATGCTCATGAATCCTGTAACCAATCCAGTCAAAGGGCCATAATTTTTGAGACATAGCTGATCACTTCCTTTGAGAAAAGCTGAGAATTATGGCTACATGTAGAATTACCTTTGCAGCTAGTGGTGGAACATTCAAGGAAGTAAATAAACAGAATGATATAAAGTCATACATTTCCATCTCTATTCCTTTTTTAGCAGAGGGGGGAAATGTCTGCCTTATATACTCAAAGTCTTTTTTCCTTGGCTATAAAAAGACTGGTAAGGAAACTGTTTTTTGATCACTATAAAGCATGGTGGCTGATATCTCAGCTGAAATGGAAGGTATATGTATCATATAGCAGCAATAAGAATAGCTGATGCATGCATAAACCTCCTCTAAAGCCAACGTAAGCCTTCAAAATGGGCTGTGCATCTCAGCAAGCGGTGGGCAATGCTGTCCTTTGTCTTATGCAACATCTCTCTCTGTGTGTGTATTGGTTTCTTATTGTATTGATTAAATTGCAGTGATAAAATATAAATTCACTATACTCAGCAAAGACAGCTTTATTGCCCTATTGTGCTGATTATTACAGAAAGTATAAATTGGGTCGTAATTCTAAAGAGTCATCAAGAATCCATAGGCAACCCAATGTTATTCCTTCAAAATAGTGTTTATGAGTTCTTCAAGAGAAGATCAATATATTAGCATCTGCATGCGTATAGAGGTCTTTGCTATTTCTGCTCTTCACTCACTGGGTGCTTATTACCACTCCCAACATCACTATCAAGGAAATATATATTTCTTGCTTTCTCACAAGATCAATCAAGTATTGCTCAGGACCTTTCCAGTGGGAGAATGGAATATTCAGATAATGTGCTTTCCTGATATATTAAATTGGAAATTGATTTGTGATGTTTAAATTGTTAATCGAAGATTTGTTAAATTTGTTAATTTGCTTACATTTTTTGAAAACTCAATAAAAACTATGTGCTTTCCTTTCTTGAAGATAGCTACAAGTTGGCATTACCAGAGAAGAAACTGAGGGGGTATCCATCTAATTTCTCCCCTCTCTTACCCCCCCCCCCAAAAAAAACTATATTGGGGTTCCCTTAACTGCTTAGCAGATTTGGGGAGCGGAAAGGGCAGGCTGGTTGAGGTACACCCCTTCTTGTTCAGGAGTTACTTTGAAAAGCATTTTATTCTCTACGGGTTGTATTCAACTAAATTTACTCAAACTTGCACCATTAAAATGAATGACCACAACTAACCTAGGTTTCTTGAGTTCACTTGGTCTACCTTGTGTAAACAGCTCAATATAAACATAGGAGTGGGGTAGGAATTATTATTTTTTCTATACAGCCAATTCTCTCCACATGCCTCCAATGAAATTAGGCTGAGGCCTGCATTGAAGCCACAGGTTCGCTTCCCCAGCTTTTAGGGGCAGGTGGGTCCACAGTCTGCTTTGAAGCTTGTGAAATGCAATCAAAACAGTCAATCAGCCCAAGCGGTGAAGTACACAACATCTCGATGAAGCGAACTGTTGGAAGTTTCAGGGCAAGCAAAAGGAAGTACCTCTTCAACAGCTCATTGTTGTTGTTTAGTTGTTTAGTCGTGTCCGACTCTTCGTGACCCCATGGACCAGAGCACGCCAGGCACTCCTGTCTTCCACTGCCTCCCGCAGTTTGGTCAGACTCATGTTTGTAGCTTCGAAGACACTATCCAACCATCTCATCCTCTGTCATCCCCTTCTCCTTGTTCCCTCCATCTTTCCCAACATCAGGGTCTTTTCCAGGGAGTCTTCTCTTCTCATGAGGTGGCCAAAGTATTGGAGCCTCAGCTTCAGGATCTGTCCTTCCAGTGAGCACTCAGGGTTGATTTCCTTCAGAATGGATAGGTTTGATCTTCTTGCAGTCCATGGGACTCTCAAGAGTCTCCTCCAGCACCATAATTCAAAAGCATCAATTCTTTGGCGATCAGCCTTCTTTATGGTCCAGCTCTCACTTCCATACATCACTACTGGGAAAACCATAGCTTTTACTATACGGACCTTTGTTGGCAAGGTGATGTCTCTACTTTTTAAGATGCTGTCTAGGTTGGTCATTGCTTTCCTCCCAAGAAGCAGGCATCTCTTAATTTCGTGGCTGCTGTCACCATCTCAACAGCTTATAGTTAAACTATAAAATTCTCTAATACAAGATCTAGTAACGGGAGCCAACTTGGATGGCTTTAAAAAGGGATTAGGCAAATTCATGAAGGAGGGCTTTTAGCCACGATGATGATGTGTTCTGTCTCCAGGATCGGAGGCTGCTATATCTCTAGATACTGGAGAGCTTGAGTGGGGAGAGTGCTGCTGCATTCACTTATGGGCTTCCCTTAGACATCTGATTGGCTGCTGTGAAGAGTGATGGCAGAGTGCCAGAGAAATGTTGAA